ACTTGCACAAATCCTCAGATCAAATGTACTTTCCAGCGAGCACGTAATCCTGCCTAAGCTCACCCTACAAGCTCAATAAAACGCGCGCTCCTACGAATGCTTCACAATGACGTTAAATCAATGATTCGTCCAACGATCCTTCGACACTGGTTTTAATCCCGATTTTACATGTGATTAAAGGCTGGCCCGAGCGTCAGACCGGTTGATGTTATTAATGAATGATGTCAACGGAGAGTGTATTAAACACGGGGGAAATCCTATTACGATTCTTGGAGTCTTAACAGCGTAAACATAAAAGTAGAAATTTTCCATTAAAAAAAAAAGAAAACACGCAGAATTATTACTGAAGGTAGTAGATTTTATTATTAGAAGAATTCATACGAATGTTCATTGAACCTAAAGTCATACTAATCATTATCAAATTTAATATAATAAAGAAGTATCAATTTTCTGTTAACAAATTTTCTGTTACGATAGAAATTTTATTGAATTTATAGAAAATTATTACACAGATACTCCAACGACGCGTGTAGAAAGCTGATGTACAATTACCACGTGTCATAAAAAAAAAAGTTTAACAACGAAGAGAGGGATCGTTAACGTTATCGTCGATCGTCGGGTATTCGATGATTCCCGATCGACTTTGAAGGACTGGTTGCTCCCTGGACCAGTAATCCACGTCATTCCGGGATGAATGCCTGGCTGGCTCGGGCATTCTTCAAGTAAATTATAGTCTTGAATGGCAGCGCAGTGGGGGGTTGGTTGGCACGCGTACATTGGGGTACACCTGCCCCCCGTAGACATCTGTCCCCTATATTTCCATCGCGAGAGTCAAACCATGGCGTGCAGATTCTCGGCAGTTGTTGTCAAGTTCTTATTAACGACACGAATTTTTATCGGATCTTTATCTCGTATCGCGTTAAACTATCTTCGTCGTTATTTTTTTGATACTTTTGAAGGTTGTTATGTCAAAGTTATAAATTACGAAAGCCATATAATAAATAGGAAAGATTATTGCGCGTTATGTTTCGAAGCAGGTAAAAAATGCAGACATGAAAGCAATGCTTCAAAGGCTGTCTACTATACTAGACGATTAATAAATTTCATAAATTAAATTTACTTCGCGTGATCGTTTAATAAATTATCAAACTTTTATTACTATTACAGAGTAATCTAAGGATATTTAAGGCAAATTCCAATTTTTATAAATACAACTAATTAACGAAGAACTTTTTCATCTTCGAACATCACAACAGATATTTTTTACTTTTGCGTATGTTTTTACGTTTTATGCGTAAAATTGAACGGAAAATGCAAACGGAACGATAGTTTCATTATCATTTTACTGATACCTACATATACAAATAGAACTTCATTAATAATATTGTTACTTCTTTTTCCTTTGTAACAATGTAATTTAACAGATACCACCTCTGTAGGAAACTTAACAATCGCCTCTCGTCCTCGTTAATTCAATTTATTCTGACCGGGGGCGACGACCTCTAGATCAAATAAGGCTTTCCATATTTTAGCCAGTTACCATCGTGCATCGCGTGTAGAAAGAAAGAGAGAAAGTGGAATAGACGTTGATGGTGTTCGCGGGGTGTGTCCCATGGCGTAGTGCTCTAACCGGCATTGTTCGTGGTTCACCACAAAAGCCTGCAAATGCCAACTTGCAGTGAAAAGCTCGCTACCCTACGCGTCGCGTCTAAACAGATGCCGAAATACGATGCCGAAAGATGCTTGTCTGAATCTTCTTTTACACCCCACGCTATCTGTCGACGGTCTTTTGGGGTAAATACGATCGGGGGTGAGTTTGTTTCTTGATCGACGTCGTCTTTGTTCCTCCATTTAGATCGAACTTTTTGTGATACAGTGCCATTTGCGCTACGTGCACTCCAGGGTGAAATCAAATCAAAACTTTGGAATCAATTTCAATGAATTTCAAATCAATTTGGAGTATCGGAATATTCTTGGACACTCGATTAATGAAAGATTGGGGAACTTGGATGTACAAAATGTGTGCGAAATAAATTCACATCTTTGAGAATGTAATTACAAAAGCGAAAAGAAACGAGGGAATTTTGAATGGAGAAATTGTTCTCGCGCATTTTCACATTTTTACACTTTCTACAGGATGCGTAAAAGTGCTCAACAACGAGTGGAAAAAGTTGTCTAACGTAAACTGACCACTACAAACACTCGATCCATCACAAAAAATAGGTCGTAGCATCGTGTCATCATCAATCTTCAACGAGACATTCAGACCTCTCTCTTTCTCTCGATGCTTCACGATTAAATCGCACCTCCGTGCATTCGTGAATACTTTCCACTGTTTCCAGTGTTTCGAAAGTCGAGCAATTATTCCATCGAGAAGTGAATCTCTTCCGCGTCGCAGAAGATCACGGCCATTAATCTTCGATCGAGCGTCCATCGATCGGTCAAGGTAATTTTCACGAATTTCCATGAATTAGGAGAACCGGTCTCCCCCTTTTTTTTTTCGTGCTCGTGTTACGATAATACCCTTGGTACGAGTCTGGCCGTGCTCACTACGGGGGAGCACCTCTGTCAGCCACCAGTATGTCACCGTACAGACCAGCGCCCCGGTACAATGAGGGCCCCGAGCGCGATCGATATGTGCACTCGACGGAAACGACCCAACGAAAGGTCGATCAAAGCGAAATCACTGCGCTTCGAAATGCAGCAGCGAAACGTTTATGGCCTGTAAAAAGTTCCTCGTCGAATCTTTGTTTAAACTATGCGAGAGGCAGCCTCCGTCGTTCGTATTGTTCAGCCTCGGATCGTGCAGGCGTGCGGATTGTTTCAGTTCGATGGAAATTTCGTTTGGGAGTTTCTCGCTGGCTGTTGCAGACTGCTAGCTTCGTCGTGTGTAGTGGTCCTTTGTTTTTGATAACAATTCTGAACGTGCATTCTGAATATATATCGTGATCCTTTTATTTTTATTTGTGACTGAACCGTTCTGGTGGCTCTATTGGTCGATATATAGAATACCGGGAAATGTTATATAAAATGCGATAATGTTAAAAATATTGTTTTCTTTCGTAAATTTATCTTATAATTTATTAATCGTGTCATCTTTTTGTAATAAATAGATTTGTTTCTTGTGAATTGAACATTGGAGTTAAGAAAATAATAAAAATTGAAATCGATCAGTTGAAGTTTCCAGAGAAGCGCAATTCTAAACTATATTTCAGATCATAAAATGTAAATGTTTTCCAAAATTTGATTAATGATTCTGCTTCATATGTCATTGGATGGAATTCATTGCTTTAATTTCAGGAAAATGTCAGAAAATGCGTGCGAAATTACGTGCGAAAATTGGAAATCACAAGTTCCATGGGAGTATAAATCGGTCGCGTTTCCAATTTCTTATTTTCCATCGTAGCAACCCCTATAGTTGAAAGCAGTTACGGGGTGCAAAGGCCACAGCAAAAACTGATTGAATCCCCCCCAAAATCCAACACCTTTACGGAATCTAGCCGTCTGTCGCGTTGCGCACACAGTTATACGTCGTGGACATAAATGGTTCTATTGAAGCATTACCATTATTGGCGAGATTTGGGGAAACGATCGAGCGTGCTAACGGATTCGTCGCAGCTTGCAGCCTGTTTGCAAATAGGCCTTGTATACGAAATTATTGATCAAAGGGTGTCGTGAAACCGCATCAGCTATCGAAAACAATCGTTCTCTGTCATTTCGTATTGATACGCGATTACATATTGAAAATATGGTTGAGAGAAAATTGCAAATATTATAAATTACAACTTTTGAAATTAATGAACATTCGATCGGTTTATAAATGAAGTGCAAACAAATAAATTTCAAGATCAAGTGTTCGTGAAAATCCGCAGCCCAGTGACAAATCATTTTTTAAGTTCGATAACAACAGAAATTCAACAGACAAATTCAATAAAATTAGTAAACAAACGGTGAGAAGTGGATCAGTCAGCAAGAAGCAACGCTTTCAAGAGAGTAATTTCCATGACGAGGAGAGGTAGGTGTTTCATTTTCAGCGCGCAGTAGCCAAGTGTTAGAAAAATAAATAGGCGAATTCGATCGTTCGATCAACTAGAGTGCAAAGAGGGCGGGGGCTATGAAAATAATCACCGAGCTGTTGAATTCAGGATGGAAAGATAATATTTTCCTACCCTTCGTTCCATCCACTTTCTCGATGATATTTATTCGGACACAAAAATTGCGAGATTTCCGTGTCCAGCAAAACTTTTGTCTCTTCGCCTCTGTTTCTAAAATATATACACTTCAGATACCGCGTGTGAATAAAACGCGTGACTTTGGACTTAGGGAAAGATCGTGAATAAAGTTCGAAACAACAGGTTACCCAGTAAGATTAATTCCCTGATTTTTTTCGATCGTCTGACCGATCTCGAACGTTTTCGAGTCACGTTCGCCGCGTAATCCGCCGGATTAGGCGGGTAGACGTAATTTCAGGCGCAACTTGTGATACATCTGCCCTACAGTGATTCCTACAAAGGACACGTGTCCTGGCACGTGTTCATTCATTCTTGAACAGGACTTCATTCCTGCAAAGTGGCTCGAGCACGCTCGTTTGTAAGACGATAACTGCTTAATCGTAACTGTTCTGTTTGCCGATCCGTTTCCTCCCTTTATCGACAATCGAAAACGTGGTTTATCTACCATCATTCGTGTTCATTGCGTTATCTGTTTGACTGACACTTTCTCGATATTTACAGTACTGCTAGATTATAGAATTTTAAAACTCAGAAATTTAAAACTATTTAATTTCATCTTGTATTTTACGTTTACAGGGGGGTCAGTGATAAAATCGAATGAAACTGAAAGCTCTGGAAACATATAATTCAATGTTTGTGAGTTTTATACTATTTGAAATCTAGGCAGATCGCGTTGGGAGTATGAAGACAGTAACACGATAAACATCTAGGTAAAATATGATATTTATTGATAAGACATAAAGATCTGTACAATATATATTCCCTGAATCGGCAATTTCACGATCCGATAAGAGCACTGGCGGAGACGTACGCTTAAATACAAGTAATCTAGAAACAAAGGGTGAGATCAAGCGATTGGTCGTGATTAACCTAAGAGCATCGATGACTAGAAAAGAAAAGGAACGCGACATTTAGTACGTGTTTGTAACTACACACGAGCGTTTCGATTTTTGTTCTTGTTTCCACAAGGCAAGAAACGACGGTGAATGGATTTTCAGTGATACGAGATTATCGGTTCGTCTAGCGTTAAATCTTAATCCTAATAATTCGTTGCGAATAGAATGCTCTCTTACAAAGTAAATAACGATCATCTTACGCACTGGCCTACTCTTTCTTCTTCTTTTTTTTTTTTTTTTTTTTTTACAATCACGTCTCGATTATTTGACGCGACGAATTTGTCTCGGACGACGCCCGACTTTCACATATGCAGATTTCTATGAAATATAATCACTAGCTGAATGAATTCGTATTGCTTGTAAATCTTATCGCATGCTATTACGTATTATATCGGAACTTCGTAGGATGCGGTGTAAAATAATTCACTAGAGCACGGAGGATCAAAATTCTTTGGTCTTCGACTGTTGATTTCCAAGTGGAAACTTCAGCTTCGATCAGATCTTGGTACCTGTATTTAAAGATCTCACGGAGTTGGAAACTATTCATCCACATACGTCCGAATTTTATCAATTGTCAATTTATGATTCACTTGTGAACGTGAGCAAATTTCTGAGGTATTCTATCGTTGCTCGCTACAATGGCGGCGATGACTCACGCGACTCGCGCGATTACTAATATCTACATATATCTACTCAGCAAGTACTAAACTCATCTCGAAGCTCCGAAAATACTAACCCTGAAAATTCCCTCGAAACTCGTCCATAAAATTTCCTCAATTAAATTGCCATCGTTCACATATGGATTCACAACTTTTTCAACGATGAACATGAAACCGTTCGTCAATGTCCGTGATCCTTGCGATCATTCCCGTGACCAACAATCTAAAGACACTGGTACATGTTGCCGTGTCCCATGTGATGCGGCGCAGGTAGCTGATGCTGCGCGTGGTACATCCTCTGATCGTAACACTGCTGATACTGCATCGGTGGGCTGACACTTTGATCACTGTAGCAGTCGTACTCCTGCCACTCGGGCACGAATCTTTCCTGGGGATAGGGAAACACGGTGTGCGACGGGCCGAGCCGCTTCTGCGCGGCAACCGCGCAACTTCCGGTCGAGGATGTGATCATGTTTCCATTCTCGCTGATGCTGACTGTCACGTTGCCGACGTTCACCGTGATCTCGCCTGTCTCGGAATTCCCCAGCGTCTGTGACAGTGCCCAGATGTAGTTGTGGGCGAAACGGAGGGTCTCGATTTTCGTGAGCTTCGTGTCTTCCGGAAAGGTCGGCAACGCCATCCGGAGACGTTCGAGCGCGTCGTTCAACGTGTGCATCCTGTGTCGTTCGCGATCGTTCGCCTTTATCCGACGGCTCCTTTTCAATCTGAGCACCTGCGAGCGAATCAATGGCGATCATTGTGATCATTTAACTTCCTTTTTTTGATTGTCTTCCGGCTTTTTCAGGGATCCTCCCTTCCCTCCCCCCCTTTTGCTTGCGAATGGGTGGCCGTTCTTTGAGATAAGGGAAGTTGGGGGTGGGCGGAGGTTGTCGGAGAGCGCTTACCTGTGTGGGACTCTTGCACCGTGTGTTTCGGGTTTTCTTCCGCTTTTCTTCCTTCGCTGGTGGGAACAGGGTGTCCGATTGTACCTCGTGCTTCGGCGATTCGAAGCTCACGTCGAAACCGGAGTCCGAGGAACTCGAGAGCTCGTCGAAACCGCCCTCACTGCAGAACGAGTACTCCGAGGACATGCTGCGCGGATGGTTCTCTGAAAAGTTTGCCATTCGTTACGACGACTGTCTCACAAACGTAAGTCGAGTACGTTTCCAATTTCTCTTACAAGTCTACGCTAATTTCGTGAATTTGTTCTTACGTGATCGTTACGTTTCTCCTGAAGTTTTCGTTTGATCTCACGAAATCATATTCTTCCTTTTAACTTCTTACTAGAAGAGAGCAACATTACAAAATTCTCTCCTACTCCGGTTACGCAGTTCACTGACGCAACGATCGATTTAACTAATTGTAAGAGTTATCTCACCTGATAAACGTGTCCAGCCCAACGAAACGATCCTCGATGGAATTTATCACCCCGACTGACTTCACTTTCAACCGCTCTCGAAAATTTTGCGACACTGATCGTTGTCACGCCGTATCGCAACGTAGAAAAACTTTTTGTCACGACATAGCCGAACGTTTGATGTGCAGCGAGGAAAACGAAATAAGAAACGAGGACCGTTCTGGGCGGGGTACAATTTGGTACTGTGAAAGTGGCATGGGGCTCTTAGAGCATATATACCGTCCCGAGGGTATTTTGCCCCCTCCATAAGGGCGGCCGGCCGTCTATGGGGCACCGTACCAAGAGTTCACCCCATAATAACGACAGGGGCACCTAACGTTCTCCCCACCAGTCTCTTTGTATGCATTAGACGCGTGCCACGGCGATGTAGTCGTCTAGTTTAGGAGATTAGAGGTTTTTAGGGCGATTACACTTCCTCTTGGAGCTCATGCGAGGACGATTACCAAGTTTCGTGGCGTGTTATTAAAATTGCCATCGTGCGGATCTTTCCCGGTTCATTGATAATCGTGTTTCGCTTTGGTGCATGAAAATGTATGTCGTTTTAACTTCTTACACGTGTCATTTTACCAAGAGTGGTTCAATCAATGTCTTTCTCTCCTGTTAATGAGTTAATATTGATTTCTTTTTAAGGATATAATTTTATATAAATTTGATACAAACGTGGATTCGCATACGGTCAAAATTGTTTCATTTTTATTAATAAATAAAGCGAGTGTTATAAAATTAATATTTCATTTCTGGTTTTTTCTTCTTTTTTTTTTGCACAACCAACAAAAATTGATTAGACGTGTTCTGTAAATTGCCTGTTTAATTAGAATATGATGGATCTTATTAAAATTGATCTTAAAGATTGCTTCGGAATTTCTATGGTTTTGCTACCAGATTTGCCAAGCCGTAGAACGGGATATCAATAGTAAAGGCGCGCCAGGTGCAGCGCAGTGAGTGTAAATACAAAATTAACCAAATATTTCTTACCTCGTTTACACGAAAAAGCGAAACTCAATTATCTTCACCACTGTCCGACTCTCGCTGAAATTTTCACCTTCGGTACCTCGCTGAACACTGTCCAAGGATGCACGATCGGAAATAAGTTCGCGATAATCTAATAAAACCAACCACGGCCATCTGTCACGTTTGCTAATCAGTTGATAATGTTCGAGCATCACTATAGAAACGAAACCTCTGGTGGATCGCCAGATCCGATAGACAACCTTAGACTCTGAATTTTACAATTAATTAGTTGCTAATTGTTCTATTCGGTGAAACAAATTTCTCAAAGTTCGTCAATCAGAGTACAGCGTGCGTTTGTAAAATATATTTCCTGAAAAATGATATATCTTTATGAAAATATACGTATCATTTATACGTCGCTTGTATTATCAGTGTTTGACGTGTAGTAGCTACTTGTTTCAATCACGAACGTCGTCGGCAAGTATCGGCAAATTGCACGACAAGTACACACAGTTTCCAGCTCCCACGAAATATCAGTGTGCACAAGGATCACCGGTAGCGCGATAGGAAATGTGATAATCAATGATTTCTACAAGTATTGACGTTCGTCAATCTTCGCCACACTATGTGACACGTCGTGCAATCGACAATATCTTTCGGTATTAATCGTGTCCATTCTCTAGCTCGAAGAGCTGCGCGAGTAATAACGCAAGATCGGTTCGCAAGGGAGCGCGAAATATCAGGATCAGGTGTGTTTGCACAACGATTCGTTATCGATAGTATATTCGTGTAATTTATCCAATGAATACGGAAATTTTCGTTTGTTTAATCAATCCTCGATTAATATTCTAACAATAATTTGATAGAGCATCTGTTTCACAGTGCAAATTCAATTTATTATCTCTATTGTATATAATTATCTAATTATCTAATTATATATACAATTTATTATTATTTTATTATAATTTTTATTATAATTTTTATTAACTACGTTTTATTAACAACGTGTCAAGAATTTCTTGTCTCTTTTTTTCCTACATCGGTGTCTGAAAAGAAGCTTGGACTCATAAGCAATCTGCAAGCGCTCTCGATCTTCTCTTCTTCGATAACAGTTTCTCTTCCTCAGATCTTCGCTAATGCACGACAACAGTTTAAAACACGCGAGTACGGTAATTGCATTGGCAGCCAGTTTTTTACCTCCAATGTCTCCCTGACCGTAAACGGAAGGCAGAGATAATGATGCGTCTAATAAGCGAAAATTGCGAAACTGTTGTACCACGAGTTTTACATAATTGCATTATTATTGGCCGTCAATCATTCGAGTCTTCGTTCTTCTCATTCATATTAATTCGTATATTTATTAACAATGGCAACATTTTTTCTACTACAAACTTCTTTCTCTGCAAGAAATATTTCATTATTTGATAATCATTTTATAAAAATTTGATGAACAGAATTTTTTGGAGGAGACGATATTTTATTGCTCGCGTGTATGTCCTTTATTAATTATACTTGAACAGTTCAAACGTCAAGATTCAACCCTCTATAGAGATAAAATATATTACATCGAGCCGATCGATTTCGTGTGCAAACCATCAATGCGATTGATGATACCTGATTTGCATGATACGCTTTGATACGATTCGATCGACTCTGTTGAACGGGCACTAAACGAAAGCCGTGCACAGTAGCACTTTTCATTGCATCTCATTTGCATTTAAGATGCTCATCAACGTCATTGATAATCCAACATTGAACAAGAATCTTCTCTAGTAAATCTGCATCCTTAAAACGTTTATTGCCATTTCAAGTAGCATTTCTAAAAATAAATTATGTATTATAAAAATAAATCATGTATTTTTCCATTTGCATTAGAAGTACGGAATATGCTAAAAAATAGTCTTGTTCGAGTAAAATCTTTATTGCTTAGAAAGCGGTTTGCGATGAATTTGCAAAGCAGACACGCGAAAGTCGACTATTGATAAACATTCCTGGTGCTCTTAAGAACAGAGAAATTGACACACTGTAAAATTACCGTTTTAGGCACGAAACGACGTGAATATGAAACTTACGAAACTTTGAATTTCAGCTCGAGAGAAATATGTAAATTAATTCTTCAAAGTTCCTATTAAATTTAAAAAATAATGAAATAATTTAAAGTGCTTCAAGTAGTATATTTTTGAACCTTGTGAAAATTTTAGGTGGAAGAAATCCGATGAAATATTCTGAAAGAATTTATAAATAAAATATAAATTTGCAGATAATAGAATATTTTTGCGCACTTTAATTTATAATTATTAATTTTAATTCCCTAATTTAATTTTCATTAATTTTTATATAAAGAATTTTTTATTAATTTAATTTCATAATTTTATTTATAAATTTTATATTTAATTTTAATAAATTATATATGAAATATTAATTTAATTAATAATTTAACCATAATTATATTTTTTTTATATATAATTATATTTATTTTATTTTAAAATATTAATTAAAATTTTAGTGAAATATATTAGTAGTGAAATATATTAATTTGCAAGACTGAGTGAAACGAATGTGTTCTGCGAGTGAAATTTATTCCTTAAACGACCGTCGACGCTTAACGTATCTACCGTCTGCTGCCTCGATCAATCCTTTTTTCACACTTCTAAAATTCGTGCCATTTTCGTCGATAAAAGGACGCCGTGAAATCGACACCGTGTCAGACACATGTTCGGCCGTGCCTCGGAAATATCGGGAATTACACGAAAGATTTGCTGCACGATGCGTGAAGAATTGAAAATCAAATAAAAAGGAAAAGGGGCGTGTGGGTATGTACGAAAGTGTCGAACGCTAAAAAAGGGTTTCAGGAAAGCTGGCGAGGCGATTCGCTCTAATTGGATAATTTATCGGCCATGTCAATAAATAACGTTTCTCTGGTCGATCTGGCGAACCTCGTGTTACGGTTTATTCATCTTTCTCGTTTTATTTTCGATTGATGATATTTTTAAATTACAGAATTTGTTTGTAGAATTTTTTTTTTGTAGCAAGTCTACGTTACTAAATTGTTTGGAACGTTTGCAATGAATAACAAAAGTTAGTAAAATTTTTTTACGAAAATTTAAAAATTGAAGTGTTAAAAGAGTTTCACGAAATTTGAAATTTGAAAACGTTGTGTAGGAGGAAATGTTTTTAGATTTAAACGGAAAAGAATACACAATCTAACACGATATAGTAATATTTTCGCGAATGGTTAATTAATGAACAGAGGTGATTTTTAAATCTAATGTGAATTTTCAATGTGTGAAATTTACAGTTTCCACGAGGTTCAAAACGGTAAAAGAAGACAACGGAGAGCTTCGCGATAATACAGTACTCCTTAAAAGGTTCCGCCTGGAAAAGGCATGCGTTGTGAGAAGTGGGTTAACTAACTGGCAACACCCATGTTTCATATAGTTCGCGAGAGTTTTCCCAGAGTTGTAACAAGCTCCGGCGAATAGAAAGAGAGAAGATCGCAGTCGATCTTTGTGCAAGCCACGTTTTATCCCACGATTTTCATCCTCTTGCGACAGTACGGTCGTCTATGAACAGACAGATTGCGTGGTTGTTATTATCTTTCACGCGACGCCAATGCGTTACGACAAACAATGATGTAATAAAAAATTAGATCACAAGAAAATATCCGTTTTAAAATTTTTTTTACTTGTAATTCTTCTATTACAATTTTTTTATTTACAGTTTTCATACTTTTATAACTTTTATTCATCCACCTTTCTTTAATTTTCTTTTCAAATCTATTATTATTATTATTATCTATTAATCATTAATTATCTTTTCTGCTTGTACTTCTTCATCTTTTGCTGTTTTTAATTCATTTATTTCTTAAATATATTTTCGATTCTCTCATCGCAATAAAAAAGAACAAATTGCATATCCTTCCCACTTTTAAATGTGTATTAAAGGTGCAGCTGGTAAAAGCATGAGAATGTCTCAACCTTCAACGCTAATGTCTGTGATTCGTTCACTGATTGCTTCGTACTTCTTCATTGCTAATGGTAAAAATCAAGAAGAAACATTTCTGTT